GGGGGGGGGGGGGGGGGGGGGGGGGGGGGGGGGGGGACGCAACAACGGGAAACAAACGCGGGGAATATCCGACACGCCAAAATCGTGAAAATCGCGAGCGAAGTTAACCAAGGGGCGGCACGACATGAAGCAACAACACGGGCCACAACGTTTCGCCAACAGTATAGCCAAGCCCGACAAGCACCAACCACCGTACGACAGCAAACACGTGCGTACAGAACAGCGAAAACAAACACGGCCAGCGCAGAGGCGGAGCAAACAAACACACAGATATCACGCCTACGTTCCAGACGTTCTCAATAGCCAGCGCCCGAAAAGAAAAAAAAACACTTGACAAACACAGAACGATGAAAGCGAACACACCCCCCTCGAAGCAAGCCGGTACCAAACCACCCACGCAAACCACAACCTAAGCATACACATCACAGAAACAAACTGCTCTCCGTCCCCCAACATGTCAACCACCCAGCTCACCCCCCGTGCTCGTGCGGACCCCCCGCGCCCCCGGGCCGCATGCCGCCCATTCCGCCCGCGTTCCCCGGTCTCTGCGACTGAGGAGGTGTCTGGGGAGGGGCGGGGTGGGAGGGCGGGGGAGCCCCGCCCGCCCCGGGGTGTCCCGGCATCATTGGGAAACCTCTCTGCTGCTGTTGCTGCTGCTGGGGCTGCTGCTGCTGCTGCTGCTGCTGTTGGCCTTGCGGCACCGGGATCTGTGGTGGCGGCAGCTGAAGCTGCGGCTGTCCCGGTTGCTGCTGCGGCTGCTGCTGCTGCTGCTGCTGGGCCATCTGAGGGCGGAGGGTAGGAACCAGCGGGACAAACGCGTCAAGTGAAGGGCGTCGTGGCTTTCAGCACCCGGGTACACGTCAGGCACGCAATACACCTCGTGCTTTCGTACAAATTACCCCAAAACGATCCAATAACATGGGTGTTACGGTGCACGCGGACGCCCTCATTCACCCCCTTATCCTTCGTACAGCAGAACCGACCACGTACTTCCTTCTACAATCCCCTTCTCCGGTGCACAACGTTGCCCGTCAGGCCTCAGCTTGCCACAGCGCGGCTACTAACACATACAGTAGGGGGCCCTCTATAGTGCCGGTATGTGTTCAGAGAGCAAAGCGGCACTATACCGGGCACCGGCACTATTCAGAGTACAGAAAGACTTGATATTCCGGTGTGTGCGAGCCGAAAACACCGGCACTATACCGGCAACCGGCACTATTCAACCGGCACTATATCGGGCCACCCACTGTAGTGCAGTGAATACGCACGACCCTCCTTCACACAAAAAAACGAAGTACTGCGGCACGTTGTGGAAACAGCCTCATGGTCATGGGTCATCTACAACAACCCCCTCGACCTAAATACCTGCATCTGGCCGTGATAGAAGGGAGATCCCGGGGGGGGCGCCGCCCCCCCTGGCTGGCCCACGACCTGAATCCCCTGCGGCGGAAAGCCTTGGATCTGCCCCGGAGCCATCGGCATGCGAGGCGGTTGCATGAACATCTGTATTTTCGGGGGGAAAGGAAGGGGGGTAAACCACGATCCAGAGGTGGCGGGCAGACGGGAGTGGGGGGAGGTTGGTGTTGGTCACCACAAATCCAGCCAGCGCGATGGACATCTCACGCGAGAAAGCCACGGTCGTTTGACACCCTTCCGCGCACACGTCTGCTGTGCTGCGAGGGGCTTACCAAACCACCGAGGGAGGAGGTTCACATACATTACTACCCGCGTTCATCCCATACAACTCGACAGGGAGCTCAGCAGGCGTTCGCAAAAGCGACCTGGCACAACTTTCCCATCTTCCAAGCAATCTACGGGCTTCCCTCCCACCCACCAACCCACCCACCCCCAGCTGACCAACACACACACCTGCGGAGGCTGTCCCATCGCCGCCCGATACATGGGCTGCGGGAACTGCTGAGGCGGCATGGGTCCCCGCGCCCCCGCCATCACGTGCGGCGGCACAACGCCTGCCATGTGGTGCGGGTTCATCGCGTTGTTGCCCCCCGCCGCCGCCGCCGTAGCTGCTGCCGCCGCCGCCGCTACCGCCGCCATCTGCTGCTGCTGCGCCTGCAAAGGCCCCGGCGGGAAAGTGGGGACGACCATCTGCGCGCCCCCCGGTCCGACTGCCGGAGGGCCCGTGACTCCCTGCGGGACGGGGGGGGGCATCGCCTGCTGTTGCGGTGTCGAAGGGTGTTGCTGAGGCGTGGACGGGTGCTGTTGTTGCTGCTGCTGCTGCTGCTGCTGCTGCTGGGAGCGGGGTTGGTGGGTCTGTTGCTGCGCCTGTGGCTGCTGCTGCTGCTGCTGCTGTGCGTGGTGCGACTGGTGTGGCGGCTGCTGCTGCTGCTGCTGCTGCTGCTGCGGCTGCTGCTGCTGCTGCTGCTGCTGCTGCTGCGGCGGCGGCGGCTGTTGGCGGTGGGGAGGATGCTGCAGAGAGCTGTTCTGCGGGGAGCCCTGCTGCGAGCCATGGTGTAGCTGGTGAGGCTGGTGAGGGGGGTGAGGGGGGTGCGGGTGCTGCTGCGGCGGGTGGTGGTGGTGGTGCTGCTGCTGGTGCTGCTGCTGCTGCGGCTGGTGGTGTTGAGGGTGCGCGTGCGGTTGTTGATGGGGGTGCGCATGACTACCACCACCGCCGCCCCCACCACTAGCCCCGCCTCCATGCTGGAATTGTTGAGAGTGCTGGTGGAGCGGCTGTTGGTGCTGATGGGGCACGTGCTGAGGGTGGTTGAACTGGGGGTGTTGTAGCTGCTGATGATGATGATGAGGCTGCTGGTGGTGGCTGGGGTGGTGCAGCTGCTGATGCATGTGGCCGTGCTCATCGGCGTTGTGGCCACCGCCTCCGTAGCCCTGCAGGGAGTGACGCAGAGGAGTTGAGGTAAGACACTCGCAATCAAAACAGCGGTACTTGAAAAAGGGCGATTGGCCGTATTCCCCCGACACAAAGAGCTACAGTACGAAACCCCATTCTTGTCGCCCCAAAAATTTCAAAAACTTAAAATGTTGAAACTTCCGCAAGCATCCTAGTCCGATGCTGGTGACATGGGAGTGCGTCAAAAGGGGCCGACAAACCAGGCCGCTGTTATCACAGCACAGACAAGTACCGCAGGCAGACACAGAGCATGCCGCACAATCAAAACAGTGACGCAGACAGAGCACATGACACAAGCAAAAGAGTCTGATAATATCCAGGTGGCATGTACGCTTCTCAACGTTGCTGCAGACCAAGAACCTTTTGCCCTAGCAACTCTCTGCCGCAAACCATTCAACCGGACATCGGTCGGCGAAAAAACAGATTTCGCGAGATGACCGCGTTCGGTTATGCTAACGCAGCCAGCACAGCACACTTACCATCGATCCACCGGACATGGTGCCCCTGCCCCCGGTCCCGAACCCTCCCCCCCCGGCCCCTCGGGGCGACGGGCTCGCGATGCTAACCGCAGTAGGCGTCATCACCTGCGGCGTGGACACCGCCGCCGCGGCAACGACAACCGGGGACGCGGAGGCAGCAGCCGCGGGAACGGCCGGCGCCGGCGCTCCCCCCGGAGGCTTCCACTCCTTGGCCGTTGGGTTCGGCTTCCACTCCTTCGCGCTGGCTCGCAAGGCCGATTTCTTCTTCGCCGCCGCTTCCGCCGCGGCGCTCCCGCCGCCGCCGCCGCCGGCACTGCCCCCGGCGGAGGAGGACGGAGAAGGCAGCGGCGGCTTCGCCGCCGCCATGGCCGCCTTGGCCGACGCGGGGACGAACGCCGGCGCGTTACTGGAAACCCTCAAGACAGACACGCTGCTGCCGCCGCCGCTGCTGCCAGTCGTCGTCGCGGCACGAGGAGAACCGCTGCCGCTGCCGCTGCCGCTGCCGCTGCCGCTGCCGCTGCCGCTGCCCGCCGCTCGTGTTGCTACTGGCGAGGGCTGCGGCGTCGCGGCTGCCGCCGCCACCGGCGCCGCCTTCGGAGAGGGGGGCACGGGGGTAGTCCTGGGTCTGGCAGCGGCAGGCGGTCGCCCCGCAGCAGCGGTCGGAGTGGTGGCGGCGGTAGCGGTGGCCGCTGCCGTCGCCGGAGCGGCCGCACTCGGACCGTTTTCGCCCTTGGGCGAAGGCGTCGACCTGTACAAAAAATAATTCGGCAGAAGACGTAGGCGAGACGAGAGGGGCGCGGTCAAGAGGATTCCAGCGAGATTGACGCGCAGGGATGGCTGGATGGAACGACAACCTCACACCGCAAAACTGCTATCACGGACATTGCGCTCTCGCCCTCGCCTACCTCACTATTTTCTGAATCAACACGAGAGAGGGTGTAATGTAGCCCTACAAGCACTACAAGCCATACAAGTCCTGTTTGCTTGTGCAGCCATGAGCCAAATCCACCCTCCCCAAGTACGCAAGTACCGCGCCGCGGCCAAAGTGCCCCCACACACCCCCACACACCCCCCGTCGGTGCTTGCCATCGTGGTTGGGTTTTTGTCGCTTGGCAACGTTGTAACAATCCGATCGCTTCGTGAGCTTGGCAACCAGGTTACCGCTTTATTTTTTCCTTTGCTGTATTTATTGCGGTAACCATGAATGGTGGTCGAGTAGATCATGTTGTGCGGGGTCGAGAACCCTCACTCCGCGCAAAGGGGATGATCGCGCCACGTTGTGTGAAAATGGCCAAGCACCCGGCAGGAGTTACACAACAGTGCTTACACCTGTCTCTTGAAGTGAACGCACAGGAAAATAACTTAAGTCATTCGCAGCCGTCATCCGTTGCAAGGAAGTGAGCATAAGATACCAAACACCCCTAGCAGGATGCAGCGCACCCTCCATGCGGCTCGCCGAATACCTCACGGCGCTTCGCGCTTGGTAGAGCCGTGTCCGGTGAGAGCCCGGCGTGCTCCGTCCCGGCTTTGTAGGGATGCAAGGTCAATGGTCAAACGACTACGGCATGCACGACTTTGAGTACCCCCCTTCACTCGCAACCGCACCTGAGCTTCCCATCCAGAACATCCATCAGCTGCGCTTTGGCGGCCTCCTTCGCCTCCTCCGCCCCGGCCGTCGCGGCAACCGCCGCCGCCGCCGCCGCCGAGCGTGGCGTGCCGGCCTTCGGCGGCGCCCCCCCTGCCGCCGGCGAACCCCGCTCCATCACCTGCGCCGGGGTCGGAGACCCGGCTCCCGCTCCCCCGCCGCCACCAGCCGCGCGAAGCGCCGGCGGTACGTACACCCCAGGACCGGCCGGGTTCTTGTTCCCCCCACCCCCGCCACCGCCGGGGCCCCCACCCCCACCACCCCCCCCGCCGGGAGGTCCACCGCCGGGGCCCCCAGGGCCGGACTGGGGGGAGACCCGCATGCGAGCGGGGGTGTAGCGGGGGGCGGAAGGCCCGGGATCTCGGCCAACCCCGCCGTGGCTGTGGTGCTGCCCGTGGATGTGGCGGTGGTGGCCACCGTTGTTGGTGCTGCTGTTGTTTCCGGCGGATCGGCGTTGGTGGGACGCCATGCCCCCGGTGCCGAGGACGCCGCTGAACCGCTCCTCCTCGCCCATGGCCTTGTCTTGCTCCGTCAGCTGTTTCGGTTTGGGGGGGACGGGGGGATAGAACGGTGTAGGAGATGATCGGTTGGGAGGATTATGAGACACGCTGTGCTGGTGTTCAAGAGGAAGAGGTGCTGCGGCTTTCCGCTCCGAACTCTCAGCGGTCAGTGAAGGTGAGTTTTGCTGCAACAGAGATTGGCGACCAATGAGGGAGTTCGGGGTTCTCGTTTCGAGTACCGGCGGTACTAGTGCAGTACGGGTGGACCGCCATACCAACAAGAGGATGACTACTGGTATGATGCTACTCCCTTCGTTCCACTTGAAACACGATAGAAATACCGTAGAGGCTGAGGTCTCTCCACCAAACACACCCACACATGCACATGTACACTGTCCGGTCGCCCTGGTGGTCTAGTGGGTAACCTCGCAGCCTGCTAAGGGCCAGGTCATGGGTTCGAGTCCCGGCAGGGTGAGTTTTTTTCTCACTAAATAAATCCTGGTCTAGGATGAAAGCGACGCGTTGCCAAGCTCGTTGTTAGTAAACCATAATCGACTTCGTAAGTCGCGAGGGAAGGGATTGCTGTACCCTTCTCGCGATAAAAATACCTCAGGCAGGAACCGCAGGAAGGGGTCCAGCCCCCCCCTCCTATGTGACCCCGGTTGGGTCGTCAAGCTAGTAGAAGTGGAGGATAGGGGCCAGAGGGGCAGACGACAGAGTCCAATGATGGGAGAAACAAAAAAATATATATGCATGCTACTGCTGCTGCTGTGTACCCTGTGACTTCGTTCCCACCACAGGAAACCGCACTGCCCGCCCACCAAAACAGACACCCAAAAAACACACACACACAAACACACACAAAGGATGTTTTGGTTCTCCTGCCCTCCCTGCCTGCACCGCTCGTGCCGTCCCCTCTTTCCCTCACCATGTTGCGCTCTTCTCGCATGTGAATATTGCTGCTGGTCTTCCCCTCTATCTCGGCGGCCATCCGCTCGGCGTGCGCCATCTGCGCCCTCGACAGCGACCCGGTGTCAAGCGGCGTGGTGTACAGGTTTTCGTCGAACGTGCTCGTCACGTTGAAAAGCCTGCACGAAGGGCGCAAGGGGGTCGGTCCATCAGGGCCGGGGTGGTTGCGAGCACGTCGCCGCTCTCGGCCAGCTAATCTAGCCCCATGACCAAAACCATCCCTTCCTAGAAAAAACAACCCCAAGCGAAACCCCAATCTCTCACCCCGTTTCTATACAAAACAATTGGCAGTAAGTCGTGATCACCAAACTTCGACGTTAGCACCGTTGACGAGGGAAAGGGACGGCTGGATCCTTCTCGCGACAAAAATAGAATTCAGCACGCACCGCAGGAGGAAGGGGGGGCATGAAAATAAATAAAAAGAAGAAAAAAGCCCTGGTGTTTACCCCCTCCTGTGTGACCCTGGATGGTTGTAGTTGTACAAAAAATACACTGAAAAGTGTAGTACTCTTACATACGCTGAAAAGTGTACAACACGTCTCACCACGAAAAATGGGGGGACTGCTGTCGCCATAATAAATAGGACGAAAACACACAGACACACTGCAACGGGACCGCAAGGAAAAATGTGAACACCACAATAAGAACAGCATCTGCATACGTATGTGTGTGTTTTCGTCCATTATATTACGACGACAATCCCCCCACTTTTGGTGGTGCGACGACTTCTAATATAGTTTATGTAGAGTACTACACTTTCAGTGTATTTTTTCGCACAACTACAACGACCCAGGGTCACACAGGAGGGGGTAAACACCAGGGCTCTTTTCTTCATTTTAGTTATTTTGGTGCCCCACCTTCCTCCTGCGCTGCGTGCTGAATTCTATTTTATCGCGAGAAGGGTCCAGCCATCCCTTTCCCTCGTCATCGGTGCTACTGTAGCGTGGAACTTTGGTACTCACAAGAGCTTTTTCAGCTATATTCGCTTTCATCCGCAAATGATGTAAATTTTTCACCCCATGTGGATTTGAACTCACGACCTTGGCGACTAGGTGTTTCGAGTATACTACTAGACCACCGGGGCGACGGGCTCTAACCCTCACCCTGTGTACGCAGCAAAAATATGTGACTGCCATCGGCAATTCCGATGCCGCATACCACCTACTGCTCCATAGCAAAGCCTAGACATCACAAAACTTCACCGCACTTTTCGTTTGCGGCGAACTGGTCCCATTTCCCGGCACCGCCTCCTCCAGACTGTGGGATGGACATGTTGCTGGAGCTTTCTACCCACGAGGTGTCCACCTTTTTCATTCCCAATAGAGAAAACAGTTTCCGCGCGGCGGCGGGAGGGGTGGCGAGAAGCAAGGGTTGGCGGCGTGGATACGTGCGTCGTGAGAGACGGGGGCGATAAGTACTGAACAAACGAAGGTGGATGCGAGGTCGTCGATGAGGACATCTGTTGCTGCTGCTGTCAGTCGCTAACCAGAGACCGGGGG